GCCAAACCTTACTGTTTCCAGGGCTGCACAGCAGCAGAAATGGGAAGAGGAGTTCTCACTGGTGAGGAAAACGAGATTTTACACTTGGGCTATTACTCAAGTGTTTAATCATGTGCAGTTTTTTGACAGGAAAAAAATGACCTGCATTTCACTGCTTCCCCTGTGCCTTTATCATGGAATTCTGGTAGTCAGGAGTAGCTCAAGGGATGCACAACTGTTTGGGCTGTAATTTCTCTGTTTGAAATTCAGCAGAATCCAGTCCTGTTCAGGACACCTGTCCAGGAAACAGATGCATGTCCTTGGTTCCTCCTGCAGCACCATCACTTGTCCCAGAAGCGAAAGGGGAACTAGACACTCATCTCCCAAGAAAAATACCTCCACACTCACCAACTTTGAAGTTTGTGGTTTCCAGGGTGGGGCAGGTGAACAGCCTAGGGAACACCATGTATATGGGAATGGGAAGGCCTCTGCAGACATCCCCATCAGCAATCTGAATGTTCTGGATCTCTGTGGCATCTCTGGCATAACCTTCTGCACACCCTGGAGAAGGCAGAGAAAGGAAAGGGCAGGAGGTAAGAGAAAGCAGCAGCTAAAATGTCAAGCCAAGATACACTGGGGCTGGGGAGGGTAAAACATGTCCTTGGAGCTGCAAAGTCTTCGTATGAGGACCAGGGAGATGATTTAAATTAAGGCTGATCCACCCAAAGTCCAAACCACGTTTGGGAAGTCTTCATAATGCTCTGGCTTTTAACAGTTTGAGGGAGGTGATTCTCCCCCTCTGCTCTGCTGAGGCCCCACCTGGAGTGCTGCACACAGCTCTGTGTCCCCAACATCAGAGGGACATGGAACTGTTGGAGAAAGGCCAGAGGAGGCCACAAAGCTGATCAGAGGGTTGGAGCAGCTTCCCTATGAGGACAGGCTGAGGGAGTTGGGGCTGTTGAGCCTGGAAAAGAGAAGGTTGTGTGGAGACCTCAGAGCAACCTGCAGGAGCTGAAGGAGCTCCAGGGAAGCTGCAGAGGGATCTGTGTTAGGAGCTGCAGGGACAGGACAAGGAGCAATGGGGAGAAATGGGAAGAGGAAATTGAGATATCAGGCAGATGTTTTTCCCTCTAAAGGTGTTGAGACCCTGGCCCAGGTTGCCCAGGGAGGCTGTGGCTGCCCCAACCCTGGCAGTGTTCACAGCCAGGTTGGCTGAAGCCTTGAGAGCAACCTGCTCTGGTGAGAGGTGTCCCTGCCCAGGGCAGAGGTTGGGGCTGGATCATCTGAGCTCCATTCCAACCCCTTCACACACACTGGTATTTCCTGCAGTCTATTCCACACACACTCTATGGACAGGGACACTCACCACAGGTCTCCACACGCACCAACTGCAGCTCAATGCTCTTCACTGCAGCCTCAGCACTCTCCACCACCAGCTCCCCTGTCAGTGGCTGTGTGATCACACAGTTGGTGGAGTTGAGGTGTCCCCTGATGAGGAATTTTGGAAGTGAGGCTCTCTGAAAACATTGGAGGGGGTGGGGGAAGGACAGGACACCACGGTAAGAGGAGAGTATTAATATCCAATCTAACCCTGACCTCCTTAAGGCTTCCTAAAGCCACTTGGGGCTGTAAAAAGGCATAGCCAGGGGATCAGAATAGAAATTTTTAAAGGCTCTTGGCTGCACATGGTACAAGGATGTAAGGAGTGATGGGTGTAAAATGAAAGAGGAGAAATTCAGATTAAATATGGGGTAGCAATTGCTCCCTGTGAGGTGCTGAGGCACTGGCACAGGTTGCCCAGAGCAGCTGTGGCTGCTCCATCCCTGGGAGTGTTCCAGGCCAGGTTGGATGGGGCTTGGAGCAGCCTGGGCTGGTGGGAGGTGTCCCTGCCCAGGGCAGGGGTGGGAACTGGATGATCTTTAAGGTCCTTCCAATCCAAACACTCCTATGATTCCATGTTTTCCCTCACTCCACTGCCATCTTTCACTCAGAAGGATAAAAATGCTTCACCATGACTGGACAAGGTTCCATCATAAATTGGTCAACACAGTTTGAGAGATGAGGCAGAATTGCTACCAAAAGGAAGAAGGAGAGAAAAAAATAAAGAGCTAATTACCTGCAAGTCAATCATCCCTGTCCCTCCGAATCACAGAAACATCAGCTTTAAAACCAAACAATGGGAAGATCTTTACCTCTTTCACGTTTTGCAGAGTTTCAGGAGTGATTGTGAAGTCTACAGGGCTTGGCAGCAGCTTCCCCTTCTGTGACTGCAAGGACAAAAGAGTTCAGCTGTGAGTTCTGACTTACAAACACACAGAGAACACTCAAACAGGTAACAGCCCAGTGCTCCAAACCAGCTGGAAAGGCAGGAATACACTCCCAGCTGGAAGCACACACTGAGCTAGAGGGGAAAAAAGTTACATTTCACAACTCCATATACAAATCCTTCAGTTTACACTTCCCTTGTGCTGCTTCCTTTCACTATTAGATTTGGGCAGTGAAGATGATAACTGAACTCCCTCATATATGGTTATAAACTCTCCCTCCCTCTCCTTATCCACCACCAATGTGTCCAACTGGAACTCTCAGTTAGGATCTACCTTCACTGCTCAGGAATTGCAACTGCAGGATGGAAGATACTAGCACAAGATGGGACTGTGTTTTCCCCCAAATGACAGATCCTGGCAAAGAAAAGCTGAAGGAAATGACCCACTGAGCACTGAGTGAGAGTTACACGTTCAGTAAAAGCTCATTAGTTCACCCTGACTGGGAGATCCATGACTGACTGACTTGTGATCTCACAAGTGCTGTAGTGGCACCAGGAAATAAACTGCCCTGTCAGAGTTCAGAGGATGATCCAAATGGGATGTTCTAGCAAGGTGGGAGATGGAAAAGGAGATGTTTCCTTAGGTCTGTGCTGGCATCAGCTGCTCTGGACATGCACAAGTCAATACAAACCAACCCCAAGCTGATAGAGGAACTTTCCTGGGAGACACTGAAACCTCAGCCCACAAGGATTGGCTATTGGAAGCAGTTTTCCCTGCAAGGCACTGGAATGTTGCCCAGGGAGGTGGGGGAGTCCCTGTCTCTGGGAGTGTTCCAGGGGCCCCTGGGGACATGGTTTAGGGGTGATTCCAGTGGGACTGGGTGAGCATGAAGGTCTCTTCCAGCCTTGATGATTCTGGGATTCCCACCTTGATGCAGTCCCAGCTCTGGTACTCAAGGCTCTAGATCATAACTCATCACCTGAGGAACTCCAATGCAGTGTTTTCATCACCCACCTCCCATTTCTAGGACAGACCCTGGGGGTGCCTAAGCCTCTGGCTGAGAACTGCTGTGATAATTGGAAGCAGTGCTGGGAAGGATGACATCACATTGATCTAACCAGCCCATTGTTCAGAGCTGAGAGCATGAGTAAGAGAATAAACTCAGGGCAGGGTAAAAACATCTTCAGATCCAAATCCTCTGGCCTGTTTTATTTACAACGACAAGAGAAATGAGTTGTTCTAATCAGAAGCAACTGCCTGCTCAGCTCTTGGGGTGGTTTGGTTTGGGCTTTGCTCCCGTTACTCCTCCACTCTGGCCAATGCTCTCAGGCACAGGGTGCACTGCTGGGGTGTCCTGGGCAGGAGGAGTTGGACTCTGACCCCTGTGGGTCCTTCCAGCTCAGGATATTCTGTGATTCTAGGACCCCACGTGTTGCTATTGCAAATTACATGACTTGACTTGGTTTTCTAAACTTTACTTAAACTGGGGAAGAAATAAAATCTGACTTTGCAGAGTTAACTCAAACCAAACTTACCAGGGAGTGGACAATGAACTCACAAGTCTTCGTCAGGTCCTTTGCCAGCAGAGATCGTCTCATGTCACACCTCAGGGTGTACTGGAGGGAACAGGACAACACAAGGAGGAGAAGAGAAGAGCCTTAGTGGACAGGAGCACTCTCTGCCCGGTGAAGATCACCCTCTGCAACTCCCTGACAGGAGGTTGGAGTCAGGTGGGGGTTGGTCTCTTCTCCCAGGCAACCAGCAGCAGGACAAGAGGGCACAGACTCAAGCTCTGCCAGGGGAGGGTTAGGTTGGCTATTAGGAAGAGATTTTTTACAGAGAAAGTGCTCAGGCATTGGAATGTGCTGCCCAGGGAGGTGGTGGATTCACCATCCCTGGAGGTTTTTAGGATGAGACTGGATGTGGCACTTAGTGCCATGGTCTAGGGACCACAAGGAAGGTTGGACTCGATGATCTTGGAGGTCTCTTCCAACCCTGTTGATTCTATGATTCTTAGGGAAATTTTCTGTCTCTCTTAACTTTCTATCTCACCTCTCTGCAGAATGTCACTGCTATTACATCCAGTGATTATGCTCTTGCTTTTCACCCTCCTTTGGATAAAGGATTATCCATAAGACATTCCCAGCTCCTCTAATGTTAAACTGAGTGTAGAATTGAGTTTAACAGGGATGTGGAGATTTAATGGGGACCTGTCTTTAGCCACAGAGCTGAGCTGAAAGCAGCAACATGCAGGAAAAAATCAGACAATGAGGTGAATTTACTGCCAATTCCTCCCCTAAAAGGGAACCATAAACCAGTGGCTGGAAAATACTACAGCACTGGTTATCCCTGGAATGCTACACTTCACCTTGCAGGACAGGGAATTTTGGGATGGGGGTTTTAACTCCTCCTTCAGATGAGGAACTGGCACAGAGGTCCCTCAGACAGGGTTTGGCTTCCTCACTGCTGGTTCACACCCCACAACCTCCTCAGCAGGGCCTAACTAGGACTCTGTGCAGGAGAACACAGACTTGAGCCCACAGCTAACACACTGAGCCAAGGTCAAGACACAGAGGCTTCATCACACTGCTCAGGTCTTGGGCAGAGGTTTAGGAAGTGTTTCTTAAGCTCTTTGTGACATTTACTCTTCAGGAGAGCAAAACTCTCCAAGGTTGGCTGAAATACAATTCACTTCTCATTGCATTTCATCCCCAGTTTGTCCAGGGAAGCCACAGAGAGGAGAGAGGGAAGGCCAAGACAAAGCAAATATTCACCGCTGAAGTGTACCTAGAGCCAAGTGACATGGATCACAGGTTATCTGGGATTTGGGAAGCAACTGCACCAGTTCTGCCCCATTTCTGACACACCTACCATAAACATGAGGAAGAAAACTGAAAAAATAGATGGGAAATATCAAGAAAACCACCTGAATGTAGACAAACCCCAAGATTTCTCTTAATTTAGTGACTTCTGATAGGCTAATGGAGATGCTTTAGTTAGTTTATTATGTTTTTGTTTAATGCCAGACTAAGCTTTCACTGTCTAACACAATATTTACCTTCAAGATGGCTGAAAAAAATTCCCTCAAAATAAAGCCAAAACAAATCCAAAAGAACTCCTAAAACACCCCCAAAACCCACTAAACCAACCGCCAAACCTATGGTAAGACAACTTTTAACCAAAAAAGGTCAAATTTCAATACTTTTACCACAAGATTCTGCCCATCCTTACAGATTTGGAAATGTTTCTCCTCCTCTCCCCAGGGAAGCAAACAATTCCTGGTTTTGAAGCTGCCATGAGTTCCCAGCACTTGGTTTGAGTTTTCCTCGTGAAATTCCACATTTATTTGGAACAAACCCACACTGTGGTGCTGTTTCCAGGAAGGGAATGGCTAATTCTCTGCAACATGAGGGATCAGCTAGAGGTGAAGAGAAGTTCTGGGAAGTTCAGGCCACACATCGTGCACTGGTTTGTTTGTGCCAGGAAGAATGACTGGATAGACGCCTGAGAGAGTAAGTGATGGAGAGATTTCCTCTGTGAACACACAGCACAACATCTCTTCTCAAAGCAGCATCAGACTGGTGAAGTCTGAGATTGCCCAACTGGTTCCTGTGCCACATTTCAGGAGCCTTATCACCTTGCAAAGTGCTGACTCCCAGAAACTGGAGCGTTTCTCCAAGCCAGGAGACAAGCCTCCCAAGCCTGTCCAGGTCCCTCTGGATGTGCCATCCCTTCCCTCCAGCTGTGACTGCCCCACACACTTGGTGTGCTCAGAGAACTTGCTGAGGGTGACTCAACCCACTGTCCATGTCACTGACAAAGATGTTAAACAGTACTGGCCTCAGCACTGAGCCCTGAGGGACAGCGCTGAGCCCTGAGGGACAGCGCTCTTCACTGGCTTCACATGGACACTGAGCCACTGACCACAACTCATGGATGTGACCATCCAGCCAGTTCTTTATCCAGAGTGCTCCACCCATCAATCCACGGCTCTCCAACTTAGGGACAAGGATGCTGTGTGGGACAGTGTCAAACACAAGTCCAGGTGGACTTGTGCAAAGTGCAGTTTCTCTGCCCCATCTACAGATTCTGTGGCCCCATCACAGAAGCCACCTACAAACTGCTGCTTTAAAGGGGAACTTGTGTGATGATTTTTAGCCTTCAGTTATGTCTAGAAAACACAGAGGACACCAGAAGAACTTTGTGTTAACAAAGGGAAGCTTAACAGCTAATCAATGCAAAGAATCTCTTTCTCTGCAGTGTGAAAACTTCAACCACCAAACTTTATCCTCAACTTCCAAGGCCTAAGAGATGCTTCAGAGCACATTCTGCAGAAAAAGGTCCATATTTTCACAGATGTTACTGCCTTACCTGAATATTCACAAACACCCCGTGGTATGTCTCATACAGGACTTTGTTCCCCTTCAAGTGCAGTGGAAATTCAAAGGGAATTTCTGTCTTGCCACTGGGAAGTTTCCCTGGTTTGACCATTTCAATGGTGTTGTTAATAATCTGAATAGGCTGCAGAGAGAAAGAGTAACGAGGTGTAGGTTGGAACAGAGAACCAACAACATCCACCAAACTCCAACAGACTTGCAGGAGCTCAGAGACACAACACAGTGCCATGACAGCTCTTGACAACGAGAAGATAGTGACACTTTGCTCAAGAAAACCATTTGCCATGTGTTCTATGGCTGCAACACACTAATGACCAAAGCTACCCATGTTGCTCCACAGCAGCATCTCCAGCACTGTGCAAAGTGGAGTTCCATCTGCTAAATGATGACCTTAAGAGCAGCA